GCGAATGGGTTTTTCTTTAGATTTTATTAATGATGATGTAATAATGAGTCCATTTAATAATTCGACCCCACAATATGTGCTCGAAGGTTTGTAATCTGTGTAATTTATTTCGGGTTTTTTTTTACGTTTGAATTCTATTTATAATGATTTTATAATTAAACAGGCCATCGTTCAATTGTCAACTCTGTAATTTGGCATCCCCATTTTCCTTTGATATTTTCATCAGGTAAGTCTAGATTTACGAAAAAATAACTTATAATCAGATTTTAACGTATCATCATTCTCAAGGTGTTGAAAAAATAATCAAGGTTCATTCGGCTTTTCCGTTTTCAAATAAGGGTATGGAATATTTTTTTCAAAAAAATTGTTGAATAGAGTCTTTATATGATTTAGAGTTGGTTTAAATATTCTATTTTATAGATTATGAACCTAAAGTTCCACAACCACCTAGACCAAAGTTAAGGCGTGCAGCAAATCATCGTTCAGCATATTCTTCATCATCTTATGTTGAACCTGAAGAAAATATGGAAGAAGATCCGTTAACTTTGAGATTCTTTGATTTAATGGTTGGTGGTCCATTAGTTTCAATTAATTAATTCAACAAATATTAATCCTTAAAAAATTTATCTACGCAGCTTGTTACTGAAGAACATTACGATCCTTATTGGGGAAACGATTCTTCTGATTCTGATGATCTTTCATTGTTTACTACGCAATTTTTTAGGCGAAATGCTGATGAGGATAGGAGTGAAAATGGGGTTAATGGAAGAGAAAATAGTGAAAACGATGTTAGCAGCGATGATTCGTCTACGTGTTATGATTCGAGGTAAAAGTAATTGAATCAGAGAATTATTTGTTACTTAATTATTTATTAACAGAGATTTGTATGTTATATCTAGTTCAGACAGTGAGGAAACATCTAGCAGAGATACATCAGGAAGTGATAACGAGCTTATGTCATTAGAAAGTGATACAGATTTTGAGGATCATGAAAATCAGTTATCGATTTTAGATCATGAGTCTGATGATGAAAATGATGATGATTATGAAGAAGAAGTACATGTAATAGATAAAGATGATGATGAACACGAAGAAGACGATGATGATGATGAATTATATTAATATGTAAATGAAGGCTAAGGAATATTAAGATGTAGATAATGGGTTAATTTAATTTATACGGCTCATTATAAATCAATATCAGTATTTTTGAACGTATAAGTTGCTTCAGTTCATTTCGTAATAACTAAATATAAATAATATAGATAGCGTATTCATCAATTAAAAATTTCTGTAAAAAAAAAGTTTTTAAAAAATAAAATTTTACGGTTTTATTTGTCACAGTATAAAGGAGAAACACGTGGAGGGACGACAATTATCTTTCTTAAATCCAATCATATAAGATCATGTTTACCCTTTTTAAAACCGCTATTTTATTAAATTGATCACCAATTCTTGTTAAGTATATACAAATATTATAATATTATTATTTCAAATAAAATTTATACAAACATTCAAATAAATTACAAAAATAAAGATTCAAACTGATTATATAATAAAAGGTTTTTCTTTCTCAAGCATTTTTTTTTTTTTTTTACAAGTTTTTTCTTAAAGATGTAAATGCAATTAAACAATTTGGTTGTTTTTAGAATAAGAAAAATAAAAAAATGTGATTTGAAAAATATATATTCTTGCTAAAGTAAATTCATAAGTCTATAGGTAACCATATTGAGTATTTGTTGTATAATCATCATCATTATAACCTACTTCAGTATGTTCATTTCTTGTATCATCATCCTGTTCAAGATGTTCAATATAATCCGTATTCTCATCATAATAAAATTCCCCCATCGAATTTCTATCAGCGGTCTGATCATATTCATCATAATCATTTTCTTCCGCATATTCATCACTATATCTCTCACCCCCATAACCCTCAGCATAATTTTCATGATCTTCATCATATTCAGCAACAGTTTCATACTGTGTAGGCATTATATGAGATGTTTGAGTGAGTCTATTGTTATTATTGTTCTCATTTGTATAACCCATTTCCATCATTCCTGTCTCCGAATCATACCCCTGACTTGTTAATCTTCTTGATATTTCTTCGGTGTAATCTATGGGTATAGGAGCACTAATGTCTTTTGTAGAAATACGTTTACGTCTTGTATTATGACCTTCTACATCACTATTATCAAAAGAACCAGAAAGACGAGGCAAACTAGAAGATCTAGTAAGTTTACTATCTATTTTATCATCTCTTTTATTATTAATATTATTCGATTTTGTTCTTACCCAAGGTAAACTAAAAGTACTAAAAGCATTAGACTTTCTTCTTAATTTACCACGTCCACCGCGAACTTTTGAATCATCCCAAATATTTAAAATTTGCTCTTTTTCTTCAATCATTATCCATTCACATTCACGATTTATTAAATCTTGTCTTGGTTCAACGAAAACCCATTCACCCCAACGATTGGTTACTTCATCAGCAGTTGTTTCAATCCAAATATAAGGAAATAATTCATCGATTGTTTCAATCGCTAAATGCGTTGTGACTTGAAAATCTTGTGCGGCATCTATCACATACCAATCTTCCCAGTCTTCTTCATGTTCATTGTAATCAAAATCATTATTTGAATCAAAAGATTTTTTCTTTAATGCACGTAAATTTATTCCTCTTTTTAATTTATGTTTCTTTCCATCATTACGTGTCGTTGTTGTCGTCGGCGTCATGGTAGATCCATTTTGTACAGAGTTAGGATCATTATCTCTTAATAAAGGTGATTTAACTGATGAAGCTAAGGTAAGTACATCCGATAAATTATCTAATGAATCTCTAAACCCTTTTGTGGTAAAATCATCCCAAGCAATAGTTTTAGGTCTCATAGCATTATCGGGATCATTTCCACCCGCTTTTTCATTATCATTAACATTTTTATTTGATAGGTTTAAATTATTTTTATCATTATTCTTTTTAGGCGGTAAAGGGGGTTCTAAATAAAAACTTTTAAAACCTTTTTTAGAGAAATCTTTCCAATTTTTTTCTATGGGAGTAATAGCCAAATCGTTATGTAAATTTTCCTTAATCATCCTTTCATCAAGCGAAAAGAATAATTTAATATAATCATCGGATAATGAAGCTATACCGTTCCTTTGAAATTCTATCCAGATTTTTTCCGCTATATTTTGTTCTTCTAATGACATCATTGCACTTGTGCGTACTATAGTACGTCTATTTAAATTATCCAACATTTCAGGTAACAATATACTTGGACATCTCGATTTACGTTCATTATTGGTAATACTTGGTGGTACTGTTCTCGTTACTCTTAATATACTTATTGGTCTTTCTGATGGCGCGGAAAAATGTACCAACGATTTTTTTAAAAAACATTTTCTACTTTTATTTGATTTTGTAGGGGATTCAGGAAATTCCGTTGTTTGGATAACTTCTTTTTGATGTTTATGACCTGCTTCCGAATCTTCATTATCTTCTTCAACATTCTCATCATCATCATCATCATCATCATCATCATCACCATCATCATCTTTTTCTTCATCATTTTGTTGATTTAACTGAAAGTGATCGATATATTCTTTTCGTAATTCGACATAATTGTCCAGCAATAGAGTCAAATAAGGAGGTAACTCAAATTCAATGACCAATTCTCTCACATAAGCCAAAAATAAATGCAAACAAGCATTCGAAGATTTAATCCATTCTCTATAAGCATCATCAAAGCTATTAAAATTCTTTTCCTTTTCGTCATCATTATAACCAATTAAACATAACGCTAAAGATTTTATAATTTTAAGAGGATTATTATCAATATCCGAATTGGAAGGAGGAAGAACACTACTAGTTAATTGTATACAAATATCAAATAATTCTAAAACAATCTCCCTATTTAATATTGGTATAGAATTTAAAAAGTAATTAGTGAATAATCGCTTACGAACATCATAATTCATTTCTTGTTCGTATAAGTTAAAGTGTTCGTAATCATTAAATGGAATAATTATACATTTACAATGACGTAAAGCCCATTTCATTGCTGATACTATATTATTTATATCTTGACTTTGAATTTCATCTTCAAATTCTGGTAAATTATCATTCAATAAACAATTCAATAAATATTTTACTTCATCTCCTCCATCTCCAATACGCATTGGTTTAAATATATTAACGGTATTTAACCCTAATTAATAATAATAATAAAAAAAAAAAAAAAAAAGAATATATAAAATTGTTAACTAAAAATGTATTAAACTTTAACCGTATATATATTACGGTGAACTTACCCCTCAATCGGATCTGTTCAACGCATCTTTTAACAATCAAACTAGTCTCTTCTATAGTGACATTATTACCAAATCCTTTTAAATTTGTAGTTTTCTTTTGAGAAAGTTTACGAAAAGCATTGCCATTGTTATTTGCAGATTTTTGTACATTTTTCTTTTTTAAAATATGTTTCGCTCCACGTAACATTGTTTCTGATCTTTTATTTTTTTTGGTTTTGGTTTCGGTTTTCGGGTTTTTAATTTTTTTTTCTTTTTTTAAAAAAAAATAAATGCCCAGACGAGTTTTTTATTTATGTTTCAATGGGAAGAAGGAGAGATTATGATATGCATTGAAAAATAACAATATTATGGAAATTTAGTTTAAAACAGGTTTTTATTTCTCTATCGTCTTTTTTACTCTCTTTTTTGTTTTTGTTTGTTTACTTATACAATTAACCTTATAGCTCAATGCGCATTTTGGATAACGTTTCGTATATTTAAGTGTGTTTTTTTTTTTTTTTTGTACCACATTCTCGATGAAAGTCAATGAATTGTTACAGTACTTTTTGTGTCAAAGATCCTATAGTGTATGTACATAAGAAATTATCTTCATTGTCAAAATGCCAAGCTAAAAGGAAATCTTTTTTTATTAAGTGCAGTACGTATTTTTCACTTTTTTTTTTAATTTTAAATCCGATTTTGCAAAGTGACATTAGACGCAAGGATGCAACATGACATAAATAAAAATTTTTATATCCCAGGTTTATCTCATAATTATTAGATAAGCATACATTTCTTTCATGTAGTGATTGACAAGAATGTAGGTTTATTACGTCAGATTTATCGAAAATTTATAAAGCATATATACTGTATACATATTCTTAATCGGCGATGAAGACCTTTTTGCGAGAGGGTTCTTTTTTTTTTTTTCAAAATCAATCAAATTAAAATATTCAGATATTCCGAAATACATTTATTTCAACGCGTTCGCGTTTTTCCTTTTAAGTACTAATTCTCACGGATATATATAGATTTTCTCTCCTTTCATACTTGATACTAATAAATATTCGAAAAATCATATTAATATTAGAGGCTCGGCAACCTTTACCTTTATTATCACTTTATTACATTTAATTTATATTTTATTGAACATTATTTACGTTACTTTATCCTTTACACAAGTAAATTAGCTAATCATAAACTAGTTTTAAAACCTTTTTGAATACTTTTTAATGATGATAATGAAAAGATGAAATGGTCTATGGATCATTTTAGGTAATATTACATTGCTATAATTTTTCTCGATATTCTAATTCATAGTGTATGCATACATATTGTAATCTTTGTAATGTTATTATAATAAGGTTATATATATATAGTAAGATGATAAAACTATTCAACAGATAATAAAAGAAACATGAATTAAATAACTTTTTTAAATAAGTTGGTCTGTTCATAAACCTTTGAATTCTTTATAATTATAATTGTTGTTTTGTTGTTGTTACCATAAATTATTATTATTATTATTATTATTATTATTATCATTATTATTATTTTTAGAAAAATTATATTAGGTTTAATCATTATAAACATAATGATGTTAAAAAAAATCAATTATTAAGTAGGAAAAAAAAAAAAAAATACTTCCAACGTTAACACCAACCAATATCTGTCAGTAAACATCTTCATTAAAATCATCATAAGGATCCCCTCCGTATTCGTATTCATTATTATCGTTTTCAACATAATCTTCACCATCTTCAGTTAACCCAGGAGTTGTTGCGGCACTATTTCCATATTGTAAATCTCTATTGTCCCTATTGTTGCTAAGCTTTAAAGTTCGACGATTCCATCCATAGTCCTCCTCTTCAGGTGATCTATTTCTTTCTGAAGTCATGCCGCGTGCAATCCCTGAACCACTTATGCTCGTAGGATCATAATCCCGCCATGATGTTGGAGAAGTAGGAATACTTTCTGTTAAATTCTCCAAAAGATTATCCAATACCTTAAAGTTAATTTTCTTTGAGAGATTTCTCTCTTCAAAGAGTCTCCTTGCTGCTTCTGCTGGCGTGCTAGACACAGTGAGGTCGTTATTTCTGCTTTTTCTTGGTCGCTTATGCTATTTGGGGAAAACTTATTGATTAAAAAATTATTACAAGTTCCGAATATTAAGTTGTTACTTACCCTGCGAACCCCAATCCCGTTTTGCCTGTCGATCTCTTGCTGCTTCCTTTTCTCTATTTGATACAGAATAAATTGTTATTAAACGAATAAAAAAAAAAAAAAGAAAGGAAGAATTTATTATATATTCACCCTCCATCTCCATCAAAAACTCCCCATTTAGCTCCATCCAGACCCGTGTTTTAAGTATGACTTCGTCCTCGGTTAAGATTGCGTTTCTTACTTCTTCGTCTTCATCAAGATCAGATCCTAACTCTTCAGTCAGTTGAGAACTATCGCCATTAGATTCATCATCTTCATCATCTGAAGTAAAGCTTTGGCGAGATCTTTCTAATCAACCCAAAAAAAAAATGGATCGTTCAAAATAACATTATGGTTATTTAAATAGACATAAATTTAATTCTAACCTTCCAAGTCGGTACTAACTTTCTGCAAGTACTTATCACCTAGGAAGGAGTTCACTTCATCCTCCAACGCGCGATCTGTTTCTTCCTCCAAGTCATGCATCGGCCTTTTGCCTTTATCTATACGCGCTGGAGGACCTTCTTCTTCAACGTTGGTATCTCTCTTTCTTCTTTTACCTACCGTCTCATCATTTTGTGACGTCGGAATATTTTGAGAGCTGTTCCCGTCAAGGTCGAAAATTTCCTGTAAAAATTCGGTTTGTAACTGAATTTCATCTCCATCAAAATCGGTGAGACCCCTCTTTCTTTTTGAACCGGCATCACCGCTTGATGAGCCAGCTGTCACTTCGTCATTCTCGTCCACTTCTCTTAATGTCGAATCAGCTACTTGCCGATTGTCTTTGGGTAATTTTGCCGACTTTAATGCCCGCGTAAATGAGGGAGGATCGCATTGTGGTTCGAGCCATATATTCCTGAAGTCTTGGACAGAAAGCTTACCCGTGGGGGTAACTTTGAATTCTTCTAGCCTAATAAGGATATGGAATAGCATTATGTGAATAAAGATTGAATATGATGGTTAAAATTCGATACGTAAGCAACTTCTAGTATTTACCTTCTTTTAATGGTCACATCTGCTGTCTTCACGACGGCAATGACTTCCTTGATACTTCTCTGAAAGTTATTCATCCGAGCGGAAATCAACAAACCTATATAATATCATCAATTCACAAATGAGAAAAAAACGAACATAATGCATACATACGGGATTCACCAATAGAAACGCACCATCTCACTTTTGTCATCTGGTGAGTTTCAATTGACGAAGCCTCAAATATACTGAATTCGTGCTCACATGCTCCACATATACCAGCAGGCCTTCTTCCTGTCTGCATCCAATCACGGTCCATTCGCTGCACAAGGCGCATTGCATCTGAAGCTACTTTTGGAGTTTCTTCCCCAAATTCCAGCAAGGATGCGAATCTCGAGATGTATAATGATGGATCAACCAATGGAAGAACAAGATGAAGCGTCCTTACCAATTTCAAAAATGTAGATCCTAACGTGAAAACATTCACCTGCAAAAAAAAAAAAATTAATTCTAGTTGAAAATGTACCACTATCAACTTTCCGGGAAGTAAATCGATTTACTTGTAAAATATCCGAGAAGTCGATCAACATATGGCTGGTCTTCTCTGTACGACATACAATGTAGAGACAAGCAGCGACGACAAGTTGGGTCTTCCGACCCTGGATGAAATTGTTGGTAATCGCAAGGTTAAAATATCTTTGCGCAGCTTCCATCAGGTGATCCGAAAGTCTCAGCGCAGTAGCCAAAGCTTGGATTTGTCGTCGTCCTTTTTTTTTTTTTTGAAATGAAAAATTTATTTTAGCGGACTTTGGTTAACTGGTTGTTCGTTCATATCAAATCCTGATAATCATGATATAAACGAAATTACCATTCGCAATGGTTTGTTCTCTTGAGTCCAAGCTTGAATGTCGACGATAAGGACCAGCGGATCTAGCCCTTCCTGATATTTCAAT